TCCCTAGGCATTCTAAAGAATGCCTGATTTTCAGGCATTCTATAGAATGCCTAGGAAATACACGAATCTTTCCAACATATTAGTGTATGTTGTATAAGATTATGAGCACAGACCGACATGTAACATTATTATTTTCTGCCAGGCTACCTTGCGGTCAGCTATTTATGTGCATTCAGTCAAATGTTCATTCAGTCAAATTTTCCGGTCAGGTATTCAATCTGACCTTATTAGGTCAAATTGTATTAGGATTTCATTCTGAGAGTACAGAGCATTTATCTTAACGCTAGAAAGACGATGGTGGTAATGTCAATATCGGAAACGCCTTTGGTAAAAAATTACACAGAAAAAATTGGCAAATCGTCCATTTTTAGAGGTGTTTGCCTTCTAAGGAATTGATTTAAGGTCAAACTGGAGAAAACGGCTACGAGCCAAAAAATGGACAAAAATTGGGCTGCCCTAAAAAATGGCTTAGCTATTTGTTTTAGAAATGGCACCCTTTCGAACATTGCCAAAGAAGAACTGAAGTAAAATTTCATAATTTTGAGTCTTTGACGACCTTTCGAATACCGCATGGCCCAGAAGTCAAGCTGGAAGGGGAGATCGAACAACACCTAATCCGGCTCTTGTTACGGCCGGGCCACCGCCCAGACGTGGAATAATGAACCATTTATTCAGGTTATTCCCTGACATTACAGTGTAGGTTGAGCTGTCCATGTATGTATATTGAGAGTCGTTACACGAAGTGCTTATAACGACATAAAATGTGACCTTTGGTGTATTTTTCACCTTCATTTCTAACATCAGAACAAAGCCATCGTCATTCGCAATCACTTTCGATTCAAGCCTACGGTCCACCCTCCCAGCCAACACTCTTCTAATGCAGCTTCGTATCTGTAGCAGCATAATCTTCCGAGGGTAACAGTTTAAGCGACTGGTTGGCCTGTGACTCTCCCGCGTGCCTTGCGCCGTGGCTCTCCCGTGCCAACGGAATTGGATCAGCTGCTGCTTGCGGCGCACCATTTGGTAGTCGGCATAGCCCAATACCTCCCTCGCTTCCTCTCAGCTCATTGCCCTGAAATGCTGTGAGGTGACGACCGGCCTAGGCCAACAATGAAAATTAGGTAAACAAATAGCATTACTGCCACTGACCCCTAATTTTCGAAGTGTGTTTCGGACAATCAAAATATTTAGGCATTCTATAGAATGCCTGGGAGCTTAAGCCAGGCATTCTATAGAATGCCTAAGCAGTCAGGGATTCTATAGAATACCTAGGGATTCTATAGAATGCCTGGTCGGTCAGGCATTCTATAGAATGCCTAGGCATTCTATAGAATGCCTGATTCCACACATTGCCTGTAACATCCATACCTTCAAAACTCATGGAAACGTCTTAAATTCTTCAAATTGTGAGTACCCCAGTGCGAAATTCGCCCCGACGGGTTGTCGGTCGTACCCCAACCACATTTCACACCACTATGAACAATAAATGCACACAGTGAAATCGCTATTACCGATATGGTCATCCAATCAAGTTTCGATAAACCCGTTCATCATCATCTCCTGCGGTTTCGAACACGCCTGTTAGGTGCTGCGGTAGACCGCGCCCAAAGCCAGTGCCCCGGTAACGTGAGGTAGCCGAGTCGGGGCAGCGTGCGCTGACCCAAGCCGGGGCCGCGCGTCCTCCCGGTGTCATGTGATAGCCCGGGCTGCCCGCGGGGATGCGGTAGACCGCGCCCAAAGCTGCGGCCCCGGCTTGGGTCAGCGCACGCTGCCCCGACTCGGCTACCTCACGTTACCGGGGCCCTGGCTTTGGGCGCGGCTCCTGCTCATACTTTGTGGTGCGGTGGTGGTGCGTCGGGCCGCGCGCTCTGACTTCGGCCAAGAAAAATGCGTCAGCTGATCATTGTCATTTCTGACACTTGCGTGTGGTGAAATGGGGTCATAACTTAAGAGATGGCTTTTTCATATCAATTATTCTACATAAAATCATATTTCAAACTATAAATAATGTTCGACAGCCAAATAAAAGAAACAATACCAATACAGGCTTACAGTTTAAGGCTCGACATTGTGTTGTCTACGATTAGACAGCTGATAAATCATTCCCGTACGTCGTAACTCTATAATGACCTTTGCTTATTGTCACATGTGCGCCGCATTCGCGATTGTTGCCGACGCCTGTTTGCAGGTGAGCCCACTACAGTTGTTATACATATCGAAAAACCGATAAACTTTTAGGCGAAAAAGGCACTATTCCAGGCCCATTTTTGATTTTTTTTGCGATATTAGGTAAAAACAGAAGCTTCTTATCCTAGGAAAAATAAAATGGGAAATCTTTCAAAGGTGGCACACTACCTTTAAGGGCGAGTTAGTTACTTGATTTTTGAACGAGGCAGCAGCCAGTTGAAAAAAGACGGAACGAAGTCTCTAACCTAAAAATTCCATGACCCTGACCCAACTGACCTTTTGACCCGTGACCTATTTCTCGAGACCATGTTTGGTAAGAATCGCGATTCGGCGTATGCCAGCTCACATTATCCGCCGTTTCCAGTCTTTTTGTGGTTTTAAACGTTCAAACATAGTGTGATGATGCTGGTGCATTGCAGTATGGCGGATGACAAGGTCACGTTAAAGTCAGGTCAAGGTCAATGACCTTTGACGACCTTTGTTCACTTTTTGAGTTTTACTTGTTTCTAGAGTAGTTTTTGGAGCTGATTTCGAACTTAACAGCCATTTGAACATTTACGAAGTAGTTGTGGTGCCTTCGTAACATATTACGAAGCTGTCATTGGTGGGCAACACCTACTATGAATAGCAGGCAGGACGCCTATTGGTTGACCTGACCTAACTTAACCCGCGCCCCACTGGGGTCTGTGTACATATAACACGCCCTACTGGGGGGGGGGGCTATTCATAGCCCCCCCCCCTCCTAACTCCGAAACTACTGGGCTGATCGTCAAAATTCAAACGGCGTCTGATAGCCCCGGAAAAACTGTCGAGCGAAACCTAATTTCATTGACCTCCAGGTCACCGATGACGTCACAGGTCAGGTCAAAGTAAAAATTATTAGCATTTTGGCTTGTTCACATTTTGGGCTCTGGCCACCGTCTTACAAGTCAGATCAGGCTCATTTTTGGTTTCCACACTCGTGAACAGATGCTCTAGATCCCTTGAGGGTACCAAACTTGTACTTTGATTTTCAGGTCAGGGTCAGGTCATCACAGGTCACGAAAATATTATATCATGCGTGGGTCACGTGACACATGTTTTATGGTCCATTTAGGCCACAGAGTTCGAATTTGATGTCGTATGTGTTATTCGAGGTCATTTTGAGTCGAATTTAGCTTAGGTCAGGTCACCTTCAGGTCAAAAAAGGTCAAATTTTGAAGTTAGAATTTTTCAACAAAAAAGGTGCCTATTGGATGCAGTTTGAGCTCAGGAACACGATGGTGCTATTTATATTGGTGTACGATGTCAAATTGAAACTGAAAAATTGATTTGGAAAATTAATAATTGTGAATTTTTTGCAATAATGCGTATAACTTGGCCATTTTTGAAGATATTTAGCTGAAACTTGCTAGAGTTCGTCAAAATCATGCGTTCTGTCACATATATTCCGTTTTTTTTTCGAAAAGTCAAAAACTTTTTGAAAAAAAATATAAAAAGATAAATTTTGAATATTATTATATAAAATTTTCTAAATTTTCAAAATTTTGAAAATCCGATATAACAGTTAGATAGCGCGGTCAATTTTGAGTCCTTTCATGCAAAGAAACTGGATCTAGCCTAAAAACTGAGCTCTTGGGAGCGATTGCCGTGGTTCAATGTTTTGCGTCGAAATCGGACGAACATGACGTTATTCTGACGTCATTTTCGGCCGACCTATGGTAGCTACGAAGTTCAAATTTTGACACAAGGTGTCAAATTGATGCAGCCGAAGGTACTGAAAGTTTGGCGTCGATCCGTCAAGCGGTTTGGAAGTTATTGCAGAAAAACGGGAGGGGGGCTATAAATAGCCCCCCCAGTGGGGCGCGGGTTAACCCTCGCCGGCACAGGGGGGTTGATGCAACCCCCCTAAGGTTTTTCGCGAATAACTCGCGTAAAAAGCGGCCGATCGGGACGAAACTTTCAGTACTCTCGCATTGATCAATTTTACACCTACCCTGAAAATTTCATGACCCTGACCCAAATGACCTTTGACCTGTGACCTCTTTTCCGAGACCATGTTTGGCTGGAATCGCGATTCGGCGTATGTCGGCTCGCATTAGCCGCGCGTTTGCAAGCTTTTCGTGGTTTCAAACGTTCAAACATGTGATTTGATGTTGCTCCCATACATTGCGGTGGGTTTCAAGGTCACCTGAAGGTCAGGTAAGGTCATTGACCTTTGGTGACCTCGGGTGACCTTGGTTCACTTTTTCGAGTTTTACATGTTTCTAGGCTAGTTTTTGGAGCTGAATTCGAATTTAGCAACCATTTGAACATTTACGAAGCAGTTTTGGTGCCTTCGTAACATGTTACGAAGCTGTCAGAGGCGGTTGACACGTATTACGAATACCCGTCACAACCCCTACCGGTTGACCTGACCTGACCTGACCCGACCTGGTCTAAATGCTTAAAGACATCATCTCTGATCAAAACTAACACGATATTAGTAATCAGCACCCCGGAAAACCACATAGCAGCCACACTTAACGACTTTCTAACAGGTCCCGATTTTCCAGGTTTTCGGGTCATTGACCTGACCTGGAAGGTCACCCGATGACCTAGGACCTTAAAATTGGGTATCATCGGCTTCCTCTCGTGACGGGCAACACGCTCGTTTTTTTTTCCGCGAAGCTCTAGCTCGATCAGGGGCCAAACGCGAGGGGGGTCGTACCAACTCCCCCCCCCCCTTGTGCCGTCGAAGGACTCAAAATGACCTGTGCCGGCGAGGGTTAAAACTTATTTACACCGGCCTCGTTCAGTATAATACATCTAAGCACAAAATCAAATTGACAAACCTCCAGTTCCTTTCGTTTCCTTTCCATATCTGCAAATAGTTTCATTGTTTGAACTTGTATGGCGCGCTTGTACTTGTCTGGATCGTCTTCATCGACGGCAGCATCCTTTCTCCCCTCCTTCTTCAATTTCTTGCGCTTGTCTGCAATCTGAAATGAATATTTTTTTTTAAAATGGCAATCTTCCATAAATTATTTCTGCACATGTCGCAATGTTTAATCTGTGCCCTTTCTGACTAGTGGTGTCATTTTCCAAAAATGGCTGACCGATACCGACCGAAACCGAAATTTTGGGAAATTTCCGACCGAATACCGACCGATAACATCCCATGCTAAATCTGACCGAAATTTGATCGAAATTCTATTCGCTATTATTTTACCCCCAAAATTAATTTTTTGGCAAATTCTGATGGAAAATACTGGGAAATAGCATTTCAGTCCAAGTTCAGTCAATTCTTAGCCATTGCAAAATACATTTTGTGGTAGAAATTACGTTGCTAAGGGAAGGGGTAACACATGGACCTCAGCATTTCCCAGGTTTGGTTAATTAGAATTGTCAAGAATCTACTGCGGTCTATGTAAGGAACAGTGATGTCAATTACGGAAAGTCAGAATACCGATACCAAACCAAATACCAACCAAAACCATGGGGAAATACCGAAACCAAACAAACTTGGAAACATGAGGGAAATACCGACTTTTTACCAATTTCTCAGCCTCTTATACACTAGTGAGGCCGAGGGTTCATGATCTATCTACTATTATAAATCTTAAAAAGTCCGCCGCCGCCCACGCCCACGCCGCCGTCGGGGTTACTCCCAAAAAGGCTTATTGCGGCGCCGTCGATTGACGCAGGACGGTGAAATTTTGACGACTCGTGGGTCACGTCATTCAACAGGTCGTATTAAATTTTGGGCACGATGCGGCCGGGGGTGCGCCCGTGGCGCGTGCTCATGTGCGCCATAGGGTTAGCATTAGAATCGGCAAAAACAGGCCATTGCTCGGGAACGGTAAGGGCTACGGGGGTGAAATTTTCACACCAAGTCGAGCGCGTGCACTCAATTGTCGTATTAAATTTTCGAGGGTGTGGGTTCAGCGGTGTGCACGTGATGGGGCCGCGACCGGCGCCGAGCAGAGGGCACGTGCTTAAGGCTCAGTTGTTCGCTTAGAAAACTGAGTGAAAAGCATCAGAGCCAACGAAGGCCGACACAAGGCACCGCTCGCCAAGGGGATTTGCCAGTAAATACAATTAATTTGTTTTTGCAATATCTCAGCCGTTTCTGGGCCGATTTAGCTGAAACTTGGACTGTCGGTGGTAGTGTAGTGTAGGGTAGGGTAGGGTAGGGTAGGGTAGGGGATTGTAGGGTAGGGTTGGGTAGGGGATTGTAGGGTAGGGTAGGGTAGGGTAGGGGATTGTAGGGGATTGTAGGGTAGGGTAGGGTAGGGTAGGGTAGTGTAAGGGTAGGGTAGGGTATGGTAGGGTAGGGTAGGGTAGGGTAGGTTAGTGTAGGAGTAGGGTAGGGTAGGGTAGGAGTAGGGTAGGGTAGGGTAGGGTAGGGTAGGGTAGGGTAGTGTAAGGGTAGGGTATGGTAGGGTAGGATAGGGTAGGGTAGGGTAGTGTAAGGGTAGGGTAGTGTAGGGTAGGGTAGGGTAGGGTAGGGTATGGTAGGGTAGGGTAGCGTAGGGTAGGGTAGGGTAGGGTAGGAGTAGGGTAGGGTAGGGTAAGGGTAGGGTAAGGTAGGGTGGGGTAGGGTAGGGTAGGGTAGGAGTAGGGTAGGGTAGGGTAGGGTAGGGTAGGGTAGGGTAGGGTAGGGTAGGTAGGGTAGGGTAGGGTAGGTAGGGTAGGGTAAGGTAGGGTAGGGTAGGGTAGGTAGGGTAGGGTAGGTTAGTGGTAAGGTAGGGTAGGGTAGTGTAGTGTAGGGGTAGGGTAGGGTATGGTAGGGTAGGGTAGGGTAGGGTATGGTAGGGTAGGGTAGGGTAGGGTAGGGTAGGGTAGGGTAGTGTAGGGGTAGGGTAGGGTAGGGTAGGGTAGGGTAGGGTAGGGTAGGGTAGGGTAGGGTTGCGTTCAGTAACATCTTAACTTACAAAGGGCTCGAAGAACTCGCATGCATCACCATCATACTTTACATTTCAATTAAAAGCAGTTACCCACTTCTACAAAAATCATACCAATAAAAATGCAAGTTTCTACACCCAAACTAATGCATCCGTTAATCATACATATCAAAACATACAGTTATCGCGTAAACCTGTACCTCTAGTCTACTATTATAAATCTTAAAAAGTCCGCCGCCGTCGGGGTTACGCAGCCGGCGTTACTCCCAAAAACGCCTATTGCGGCGCCGTCGATTGACGCACGAGGGTGAAATTTTCACGACTCGTGGGTCACGTAATAAAACAGGTCGTATTAAATTTTGGGCACGATGCGGCCGGGGGTGCACCTGTGGCGCGTGCTCATGTGCGCCATAGGGATAGCATTAGAATCGCGACCGGCGCCGAGCAGAGGGCACGTGCTTTAGGCTCAGTTGTTCGCTTAAAAAACTGAGTGAAAAGCATCAGAGCCGGCAGGTCATTGAACTTTGACAACAAAGGCCGACACAGGGCACCGCTCGCCAAGGGGATTCGCCAGTAAATACAATTAATTCGTGTTTGCAATATCTCGGCCGTTTCTGGGCCGATTTAGCTGAAACTTGGACTGTCGGTGGTAGTGTAGGGTAGGGTAGGGTAGGGTAGGGTAGGGTAGGGTAGGGTAGGGTAGGGTGGGGTAGGGTAGGGTAGGGTAGGGGTAGGGGTAGGATAGGGTAGGGTAGTGTAGGGGTAGGGTAGGGTAGGGGTAAGGTAGGGTAGGGTAGGGTAGGGTAGTGAAGGGGTAGGGTAGGGTGGGGTAGGGTAGGGTAGGGGTAGGGTAGGGAAGGGCAGTGTAGGGGTAGGGTAGTGTAGGGGTAGGGTAGGGTAGGGGTAGGGTATGGTAGGGGTAGGGTAGGGTAGGGTAGGATAGGGGTAGGGTAGGGTAGGGTAGGGTAGGGTGGGGTAGGGGTAGGATAGGGTAGGGTAGTGTAGGGGTAGGGTAGGGTAGGGGTAAGGTAGGGTAGGGTAGGGTAGGGTAGTGAAGGGGTAGGGTAGGGTGGGGTAGGGTAGGGTAGGGGTAGGGTAGGGAAGGGCAGTGTAGGGGTAGGGTTAGGGTAAGGTAGGGTAGGGTATGGTAGTGTAGGGTAGGGTAGGGTAGGGTAGGGTAGGGTAGGGGTAGGATAGGGTAGGGTAGTGTGGTAGGGTAGGATAGGGTAGGGTAGTGTAGGGGTAGGGTAGGGTAGAGTAGGGTAGGGTAGTGTAGGGGTAGGGTAGGGTAGGGTAGGGTTGCATTGAGTAACCTCCTAACTTACAAAGGGCTCGAACAACTCGCATGCATCACCATCATACTTTACAGTCCAATTAAAAGCAGTTACCAAGTTCTACACAAATAATACCAATAAAAATGCAACTTTCTTCACCCAAACTAATGCATCCGTTAATCATACATATCAAAACATACAGTTATCGCGTGAACCTGTACCTCTAGTCTACTATTATAAATCTTAAAAAATCCCACGCCGCCGTCGGGGTTACTCCCAAAAAGGCTTATTGCGGCGCCGTCGATTGACGCACGAGGGTGAAATTTTCACGATTCGTGGGTCACGTCATTCAACAGGTCGTATTAAATTTTGGGCACGATTCGGTGGGGGGTGCGCCCGTGGCGCGTGCTCATGTGCGCCATAGGGTTAGCATTAGAATCGGCAAAAACAGGCTATTGCTCGGAAACGGTAAGGGCTACGGGGGTGAAATTTTCACGCCAAGTCGAGCGCGTGCACTAATTTGTCGTATTAAATTTTCGAGGGGGTGGGTTCAGCGGTGTGCACGTGGTGGGGGCGCGACCGGTGCCGAGCAGAAGGCACGTGCTTTAGGTTCAGTTGTTCGCTTAGAAAACTGAGTGAAAAGCATCAGAGCCAACGAAGGCCGACACAAGGCACCGCTCGCCAAGGGGATTCGCCAGTAAATACAATTAATTTGTTTTTGCAATATCTCAGCCGTTTCTGGGCCGATTTAGCTGAAACTTGGACTGTCGGTGGTAGTGTAGTGTAGGGTAGGGTAGGGTAGGGTAGGGTAGGGGATTGTAGGGTAGGGTTGGGTAGGGGATTGTAGGGTAGGGTAGGGTAGGGTTGGGTAGGGGATTGTAGGGTAGGGTAGGGTAGGGTAGAGTTAGGTAGGGTCATGGGCGGCGCCACCGGGGGGGACGGGGGGGACAGGTCCCCCGCTATCGAAAGTTAGGGGGGTACAGTACCCCCCTATCGGCGAGGCCCGTTCAATAGTTGATATTAATGCATTATAGAGCTCTCCGTCGCATTTAATGCATCGTTGGTTAATCAAGGCAGGTTCTGAATAGAGATTGCTGTTGGGATGCATCGCAGGGGGTCCTGGCCATCTGCAAAAGGTGTGGAGCTGTGATGCCTGTAGTTATAAGGTGATCGGCAGGGCCTCGGGGATCGTGCCCCCTTTTTGGGGCGCCAGGCAGGGTTATTACTTATTACCTCCCCACCCCACTGCCAGACCCCATTGCCGATAAAACCAAGTTCACTGAAATTCCATAGATTTCCGTTACTATATGAAAATTTTCCATTCCTAATTAGTCAAATTCAAGCATGGCAGTTCTACCACAGGAACCATTTGAAATCTATGCCATTTAACCCCAGCACTTGTGGGGAGAAGTGTTCGGATAGATCACAGGCAGGACCAAAAAAGCACGCAGTAGCCCAAGACCTTATAATTGGATATAGCATCGGCTCCCTCTCGTCAAGGGGTTCGATAGCACTCGTTTTTTTTCTGCAAAACTAAGTTCGGTCGGCGGTCGAACGGCTGGGGGTCTAATCGAGCCCCCATCCCTCCCCTTCTTACGTCAGCGGCTGTGAAAATGCCATTACCAGCTGTTGAAACATGGCAGTTGCTTTTGCATGAGTGCACGAAAGGGTTTTAGGTCCGTGATACGTGAAAGGTTCTACATGAAAATTGAGATACACCAGCTTATCAAATTGTGCTCACTGTGGTGCGCTCGGTTTTACCTTGACTAGTCTTTGAATTCTGGGGTGAAGCAGACCAGTCAAGAAACCTGTTCCATAAGG